CAGAAGCTCTGTCTGTCTTGTTCTCTGCCATGCCCCCAGCACCTAGAATAATGCAAGGCACATGATTAAAGCCCAGTAAATATTAGTCAACTGGCTACCCAGTGTCAGACCCTGTCTAGGGAAATGGGGGTACAGGGGTCCCTGCCCACAGGGATCTCATGCTTTACAGAGTGGCGACAAGTGACTGAGCAGAGCTCTCCTGTGTTCTTAGAACACCCCAAAGCAAGGCTGGCCAGTTCTACCTGGGAGACCAGACGTGGCTTCCTACGGAAGGAGCCCCCAGCACTGAGTTTTGGAAGATACCCAGGTGCTTCCCCAATAAAGGTGTAAGGGTGTGGGGAAGCAGGAACTAGTCAGGAAGCAGCAGCTGGTTCAAAGACACCCAAGGAATGGGCTGTGTGGAGTGGGCTGGGGGGACGTAGGGAAGCGTCTCTGCCAGGAGACAGAGCTCAGCTTCCTCCGGAGACAGCAGTGAGCTCTGAGAGGTTTTTTCACTGTTGATATTTTGGCTCCTTCAATGCTGAGGAATCTTAAACAGAAGAATGACTTAGACATAACTGTATTTCCAAATGATCCCTCTGCCAAAATCGGCGTTCCCTGTCCCTTGCCCAGTCATGACCGTATTCGGGCATATTTCCAACGACTCTGCTGCCCTCTTTCTAAAAATAGCGAGCCTTTCTTTGGAGGCCATAATTGCACAGCACGATATTTCAAAAGGAATTATATGTGTTTTGATTCTTGGGGACTCACATTGTCACCCGAATGCCTGTCTTCGGCCTTTTGGTCCAAGTTTCACAGGTCAAATTGCATCGTACGGCAGGTCTCATGGAGTAGCGGGAGGAGATGCAGGAAGGGCATTAAATGAACGTAGGATTTAAGTTCTGTTTCTCTCCATGTCTCCTACATTCGGGTAGACACCCAGGATCCTCAACAGTGAAATGGAATAGCAACCATATCTACCTCACAGGATCCTTTTGAGGATTAAATTAGTTAATATTGCATGTAAAGCTCTTAGAAGAGTTTTGAAACACAGTGAGTGCCATACAACGTGTTAGCTGTTGTTATTTTTGGCACCAGCATGGTTTCAATTTCTAGAACTGATCCAATAAACTTTGAGCGGGAGAAAAGCACATAAGTGTACATGTTGAGTGTGTGTGTTGTATTCATCTCTCTTGAAGTAGGAGTTGGCGTGTGGGGATGTATACACACACACACACACACACACACGCACACACACAATTCCACAGTCACAGACCTGCTGTGTGCCCAACAGAGTTCCAGATGTCTCCATACCCTGTCATATATTACTAGCCTCACTATAGTCCTGCAAGACAGAAATGATCCTCCGTTTTGCACATGAAGAACACTGAGGCTCAGAGAGGTTGACAACTAAAAGTTACACAGCTCAAATTGCCTCTGTTTGCACTTCTGTCTCTCCATGCAGCTCAGTTCCTCCAGGGCAGGGACCCCATATTTCCACTTTGCATTGCCAGTGCCCAGTGCAGGGAGGGAGAGACATGCACAGCGAATGTTTGCTGAGTCTGAACCCCTACGTATGTTATATGGCCAAAATCACTCTTGCAAATCCCTTCGATGGCCTGTTTGTGCATCCAGCAAATATTAATTGGACACCTACTTCATGCGGGCCCCTCTGCTGGCACTGGAGAAAAAGCAGGAACCAGATGCCCCTATGGAGCTTGGCATCTAGTGAGGGAGTCAGCCAGGGATTAAACAAATGGTTAACATTAAGCAGCTGGTTAACATAACGTCAGATAGTGCTCAGGGACAGGGGAAAAATTAGACCCCTAAGGGAAGGGAGAGGAATGGGTAGGAGTAGGGGCAGGAGTAAGAGTTCACACCTCAGGAGACAGTGCGAGTGCCTCAGTCATGCCAGGCTGACAGTCTAAGCCTGGGACAAAGCTACTACCCTCCATCCCTGAGCACCGCTGTGCCCCAAGTGCAGGCAAACCCTTTCTGGCAAAGGCCTCACTTCCCACTCCAGCGGAGCCCAGTTTCAGCACATTCATTCTTTCAATGGTCCAGCAGACATTGATTAAGCACCCACATGTGCCTGATGCTAGGGACACAGAGGTGTAGCACAGGAGTCCCGACCCCTCCTGCTGGCAGGGGCCACAAAGGTAGGATGCCCAGAATTCTGCAGGTGCCTTTGCGAAAGAAGCATCTGGCCCCAGGGATCCCATCAGCTTTAAGCACACGCTGTGTCCCAACTGGCGACCAACTCGTGGTAAATGATTACAATAGTAGGTCCGAGTCTCCTTTTCAGTGTGACCCTCCTCTCATCCAGGGGCAGAGTCTATGTCCCCATCCCTGAATCTGGGCTAGCCATAATTATATATTAGTTTTCTAGTGCTCTGTAAAAAATTACCACGAACTTAGTGGCTTAAAACAACACCCATTTATCGTTTCAGTTTCGATAGGTCAGAAGTCCAGGTGCAGCTTAACTGGAGTCTCCGCTCAGGGTCCCGCAGGCTGCGGTCAAGGTGTCGGCCAGGGCCGCGTTCCCATCTGAAAGCGCCAGGTGCTCCTGCAAGCTCACAGGCCGACAGAATTCAGATCCTTGTGATTGCAGGACCGAGATCCTCAGCTCCTAGAAGCTTCCACCATTCCTGCCACGTGGCTCTCTCCGCAGCGTGGCAGTTTGCTTCTTCGAAGCCCAAAGGAGAGCAATTCTGTCTCAAATCCCTTCCCTCAGGAAAGGTCTTTCAAAGAACTCACCTGCTTAGGTCAAACCAGGATAAATTCCCTTCTGAGTTAACTTAAAGTCAACTTCTATGTCATTTTAAGCCACTAACTTTGTGGTAATTTGTGACAGCAGCAATAGGAAACTCATACACCTTGAGTCTGGCGTTAGTCACACTGGGTGGCAGGCGCCCTTCTCACCTGACTGAGAGCACCTCAGCCTGACAGTTTTGTTTCCTGATGGTTTAACACAAAGCCTGACTCTGAACAAGGGCTCTCGAATGCTGTCGAATGAACTAACAAATGGATTAATGTTTACCCGATTCATCTTGCTGCCTGTCCCCTCAGCCTGAACACGCACACACGCACACACACGCACACACGCACACACACGCACACACGCACACGTGCACACACACGCGCACACGCACACACCCATATCCCCATAGCTCGCCTAACAGCCACCACCACCTACCCCTCCCAGGAGGGCACCTTGGGCTGGCCAGCACATAGCAGTCCCTCAGGAACACAATGATTTTAAGGGTGGGGGGTGGATTTCTCTCAAGGTAATAACTGGACAAATCTGCAGGGATGCAGGGATGAAAACCTGAATTTTCGACGTGGTTGGTTTGAAACCCCAAGAACCGGCATTGCAGCACAGAAATGTAAAGCTCTTCTTTGCTAATGAATAAGTGATGTGAGAAACAGACAATCCTGACCCTTCCCACATCCCCATTCCCTCCCACCCATCTCAGCCCACCACAGCCACTGAAATGACAGTGAATGTGTCGTTAATGACACTGAAATATGTCCACTTCATATCATTAAGGGAGAGAAGCAGATTCCAGGATAGTGTGAATAGTATGATCCCATTTTGTTAAAAAAAAATTAAATATTTAAGCCTGGGCAACATACTGAAACCCAGTGTCTACAAAAAATAAAAAGAAATAGCCCTGAGACATGGCAGGGGCTTGCAATCCCACCCAGGAGATGCACCCCAGCCTGGGTGACAGAGCAAAACACTGTCTCTAAAACACACACACACACACACACACACAATGTATTTATACAATGTAGACGTGTGTGTACATACAATGTATTTATGTGTATATATAAATACAATGTATATACGTGTGTGTTCTCATATATACAATGTATAAGTGTATGTATATATACAGGTACACATGTGTTTATATAGGCATAGACCAGAGGCTGCAAGAAGATTCGTAAAGATGCTAACAATGGTTTTATGGAGATTATGGGCAGTTGCCTTTTTATCTGTATTTTTTAAATTGTTTGACAAAGAACAAGACTATTAGAATAATGGAAAATAAAATTTTAATAATTTCAAAACAAAAAAATGGAGCGTTTCGCACGGTGAGGCCTCCGGAACACTCCCAGATCCCTCTTTCCCCCCAAAGGCAGCCGGATCTGGTCTTCCCGAGAGCAATGGCGGAAGCACCCGAGGACCTGCGGCCCAGGAGCTACGCAGGCCGGGGCCTGGGAACCAGAAAACACAGATAGGACCGCGACAGCGGTCTCTGCCGAATGACCCGAGGATGACCTGCTTTGGGGCCAGCCTGGGGCGTGGGGAGCCCGTCCTCGCGCTGTGGCGTCTCCTGCCTCCCGCCACTGCCACATCGGCCTCGCTGCGGTCTCCCTGGCCTGGGGTGAGCGGAGGTGCCGCCCAGACTCGGGCCAAGGAGTGAATGCACCGGATCACCTCGGCCTCGCTCACCGCACCCCCCTTTCCAGCGGTGGCGTTTTTGTTTTAACTCTTCTGAACTGGTTACAAAACCACACTCCCACGAATACATAAATAATGGATTGGGGGTGTGGGGGGCAATGTTTTAAAGAAATTCCCGCAAGGCCTGGCAAGGCAACAGCAAATGCATTTCTGCTGTATCATATTTAACTGTTTGCATACTTCTGCGGGGAGGATGCGCAGCGGCGCGGAAACTCAAGGATTCCATCACCCTTCCCGGCACCGGGCCTGGAGAGAATTGCGTGGGGGGCTTAAAAGGAGGGAAGACGGTGTCAGCGACCGAGGGCTGGGAAGATGGAGAGGGGGTGAAAAACCTAAGACTGCACCGCGCCCCAGCCGGCTCCGCGCGAGCCAGGCGCCCACCGGCCTCGCAGCCAAGGCTTCGGCCGCCAGGCGGCCCCTTTAAGAGCCAGCGCGCGCCCCCGCCCCGCGAGCGCTGACTTTCCCTAGCAACCGCCCCCGGGGAGGGGAGGTCCTGGCAACGGCGCGCCGGCCAGGCGGGTCACGTGACGGCCCGCAGCTGGAACGCGAGCGCGCGCCCCGCCGCGCGCCCGCCCGCCGGGGCTTGCAGCTGCGGCGCGTGCGCGAGCGGTGCCGCACCGGCCGCGGGAGCAGGAGTATTATGGGTTGTGGGTGCCGCTGAGCAAGATGGAGCTGTCTGCAGTGGGCGAGCGGGTCTTCGCGGCCGAATCCATCATCAAACGGCGGATCCGAAAGGTGAGCCGCCGCCCGGGGCGGGCCGCCGTTCCCTGCGGTCGGGGCCGGGGCCCTGGGGCGAAGCGGTCCGCCGGCCGGGCTCTCCCGCCACCCCGCGCCGCCGCCGCCTCGCGTCCCCGCATCCTCCCCGCCCCCACTCCCCCGTTTTTCCCTCTGTTTTTCAGGGCCGCATCGAGTACCTGGTGAAATGGAAGGGGTGGGCGATCAAGTGAGTGTCGCGGGCGCGGGGCGGGGAGAGGCCGCGGGCCCTGGGCCTGGGGCGGCACGTTCGCGCTCCCGCCTGTGCCTGTGCCGCTGGTTTGCATTTTGATTCTGTGCCCGTGTGACTCGGCAGGTACAGCACTTGGGAGCCCGAGGAGAACATCCTGGACTCGCGGCTCATCGCAGCCTTCGAGCAGAAGTGAGTCGGGGCCGCAGGCGGGGCGGCGCGGGGAAGCGGGAGCCCCGGGGCGGGCGGCGCGGAGCGGGGCCCGGGCGGGGGCTGTTCTTAACCTCTGGCGTTTCTCGGCCGCAGGGAGAGGGAGCGTGAGCTGTATGGGCCCAAGAAGAGGGGACCCAAACCCAAAACTTTCCTCCTGAAGGTAACCTGGCCCAGCCCCAGCAGCCCCCTCTCGGGCCCCCAGCCCCAGCACAGCACGGGGCCTGCGAGGGAGGGACAGATCCGCAGCCGCCCAGGCGGGCGGGCCTTTCCAGAGGGGCCCCAGCTGGGCAGGGGGTGGCTGTGAGCCCCCGGCAAGCCCCTGGCAGCGGGCCGTGGCCAGCTTCAGCAAGAGGGGCCTGCGAGTGGGGATAGTCCTCTCTGATGAAACCAGGGTCCGGGGGCATGAGCGGGGCTCCAGGAAGGGGGTGGCTGAGGCAGGTGGGGGATGTGGGGTGGAGGGGGACTGTTTCTGCATGTGAGAACCCTTATCTCCCCCAGCTATTGAGCCATTAGGGCTGTGCCGGGAGTTAGAGCCCAGGGGAGAGTGAGTGAGGTCCCACCTTGGGGCAGGGCACAGGGAGAGGATTTGAGGGGGCACCTGCCTCTCCCTGCCCCGTTTCCCACATTCTCCCTCTCAGGATTTGTTCTGCGTGGCTCCCTTCCTCACTTGGGGATCCAATTTGAATTTGACCTTAAATCACTTAACCCACGCTGAGCCACTGACTTAAGGGCTCTGAGCCTCAGTTTCCCCCCCACTTCTGGCAATTTCTGGAGGACAGATGGAGGAGGTGACAACATACCATGTTAGCCTTGGCAAGGGAGGGAAGAACTTCCAGAGGAAGCCATCTTGGAGGATGTAGGTTTTTATTTTATTTTTAAGAAGAAAAACAGAGTCTGGGAAAGGGAGGATCAGATTACCCGTGGTGGCAAACAGGGGTGCAGGTGGGACTCACTGGGCCCCCCCAGTCTCTTCGTAGTGCTAAAGATGTCTCGAGGGCCCCTTCCCGGCTGACAGATGGTACTTTGTGGGAGGACTCTTTTCAGGGAAGAGGCCGTGCTGAAGGCAGAACCTCAGCATCTCCAACTTGTCCAAAAGGCTCAAAGCCCAGTGAGGGTGGGATGGGCCTGTCCAGCCCACTCCCCCAACCCCACCCTGACTTACCACCCCTATCTCCTACAAAGGCTTTGCTTTGGACTTAAAGCAGAAGTGAAAGAAATGTTGGTTTCCAGAATTCCGTATTTCTGTCACCCCACTCTGAACCGACGCACATCTTAGGGGATCCGTGGGGTAACCTTAACCCTGATGCTTCTCCCCGGGAGGAATGGGGCGGAGCAGCGGGAAGGCTGATGGGCAGTGACGGCTTCTCAGTGCCCTCTAGCGGCGAAGCAAGTAATGACCATGAGCATTGATACACAAAATACCTTTTTTCTTGATAATTCTAGTTCTGAGGTGGTTATTGGCCTAACACAGTCCTGAGCCCCCCGCATAGATTATCTCCTTTAATTCTCTCAACAGCCCCATGAAGTGGGGAGTTGTCGTCCCCATTTCACAGATGAAAAAAATCAAGGCCCAGAGAGGGAAAGTGACTTACCTGAGGTCCCACCACCCAGCTTCCTGGCTTCATCCCATCTCCTTTTCTTCGTCTTATCCCTTGAGGAGTACATGTCAGGTTCTGGGGGAATGTGGGCACACACAGGAAACTGAAGGCTGCAGAGTTGGTGGGGCAGGGGATAGAAGCAGACAGTAGAATCATGACCTGGACCTCAAGAAACAGGCAGCTGGAGACTAATGCAGACATTTGCAAGGGGCTGCGGACATCAGCTTGGGCCGAGCTGCTGCTCTGTCTCCCTGCAGGGCAGTTTATGTCAGAGTCAGCAGATTACACTCAGCACTTCCTGCCAGTAACTGCTCCGAAGGGAACAGAACCCATGAGATAAGATCCATTCTCCCCATTTTACACATGGGAAAACAGGCCAGAGGGCATAAATGACTTGCCCACAGAGTTAGTGGTAGAATCCAGGTGCTCTAACCTTCCATGCTGTCTACGTGCCAGACCCCTGGCCCTGCCTGTCATCTGGTCAGGGTGCAACGAACATACTGGCCGCAGTTATTTTTAATTCACCAGGCAGACCCAGATCCCATCTTCAAAGAATTCAGTCTGGGGAGGGGAGGGAAGGTAAACCAGTCCCTTTTTTAAAGTTAACATAGGAATTATAAAATGTTTCTCATAGAAATTTTGGGAAGCATATATTAGAAAAAGATGACTGCTCTAAGCCTACCGCCATGGGTAAATCTAGTATTAGTTACTTGCTGCGGGCCAGGCACTGGGCTAAGCAGGTGCCGCATTCTCGGATCATCACAAGAGCGCCCATAGTGGGTCCTGTGGCAGCTGTGCAGATGGGGGAAATGAGGCTCAAGGCCCACTGAGCCATGGTTTCTTTTGGGGCCTGTCATTTGCCCACACTCTTTGCCACTCCCCCAGAAACTGCCTGTCACCGTTGGACTCCGACAGACTCATTATTACAGGGGACAGGAAGCTCAGGCAGTTGCGAAGAGTAAACACTAACCCCCAGGAGTCAGAAAGTGGGAGTCCCCCAAGCTGCAGGAGTGAACCTGCGAGAGGCCCTACTTGCTATGCCAAGGAAAGCCTGGGCTTTTCCCTGCCTTTGGGAAGGGATTTGAAGGGCCCAGTCCCCGGGGGAGCTCAGCTGGTTCAAAAGCAGGGGGGCTGGCAGCATCTGTGGGGGCAGGCTGGGCCTTGTGTGCTGCCACCTAGTAGTCAAAGAGATTGTTGCCCAAGTGGCCCCAGGAATGCCCAGCCTGGGCTGGGAGGGCCACGTGGCGTTACAGTGCATTTCTCCGGGGGGGCAAATAGGATTCCCACATTGTAAATGGAGACATCCTCGCTTAGCACGTAAGTCAGCGAACGCCGCTTCTGGGGGTTGTGGTCAAATACAGTCTAGCCCCCTCTGAGGGCATATAGGCTCCCTCCCGGGTACTGATTAAGCACCCAGTGCTGTGGGGAGTGAGAGGCAGAGACTCCAGATCCCACCCTCAGGGCCCTCATGGACTGACCATGTCCTTCCTCTGCCCCCACCATCTCCTACCTGGATCAAGGCAGTCACCACCTAACAGCCTCCCTGCCCCACCGGGAGCCGGAGTGTGTAAAGCACAGATCCATCCTGGCACCCTCAGACACCCCCAGGCATTGCTCGCAGCCCCTTGACCACTTGGTGTCCCTCACTGCTGGGCCTTTGCCCACAGGACGCTCCGCCTCCACTATCTGCCTGTCTCAGCAGCTACCTCGGGCCTGTTTAGGGCATGGTAGGTGCTCAGCAAGGACCAGGATTTTCTCCTACTTAGGGACCTGGCTTTGACGTTACAGCCTCCAAGACTGGACTCTGTGCTCCCCAGGCCCTGTTCTCCCTTCCCTGCACCTGCACCGAGTCACTCTGTGCTCTGCCTCTGTCTTCCTGGTGACAGATCAGTACCCGGCGGAGGGGGGAGGATGTGTGTTCACAGGTGCACACCCAAGCTGCTGGCCCTAGCTTGCTTGTCCTTTCTTAAGGAAGAGCTGGCCATGTGGACAGCTTATGTGGCTTTGTGAGTCCCCTGCCCTCTCCCCATGCCCTGTCATCTGACGATAGGGGAGTTGGACTGAAAGCTGGAGTCTCGAGGGCCCTGCCACACCCTGTGTCTTCCGTGAGGTAGCAGGGGCGCTGCAGAACTGTGGGACTTCAGAGAGTTAACACCTGGAAGGACACGTGGGCCCAGGAGCCTGGGACAGTATCCCTGGCTGCCACAGACCTCTGCACAGAGAATATGGAGTGGTGGGTCCCACCTCTAGGCCCGCCCCCACCTCACCCATGACCAACCCAGGCTTTGGGGTCCATTAGCACCAATCCACTTGTGAGCCAGGCACGGGGCCGACAGATGGATCAGACCCACGAGGGCAAGCACCGGGGGCTGGGACCGTCAGGAGGCCGAGGGCCTGTCCAGAGATAGTGACCAGCTAAGGAGGCACATCAGAGCTGGAGGTCAGCTGTGCAAAGACCTAAGACCGTGGGACACTGGGGACCCTGCAGGTGGGTGGAGCAGGGAGGACCCACCTCCTTTCTATCACCAAGAATGGGGCTTATGGGAGTTCCAGGCTGGACTGGTCAAGGGCTTCTGGGCAAAGGGCTGTCTCCTCCTGCCACCACCACCCCCGCCCCCATGCAGTTTCCAGATTGTTGACACCATCACCGGTCCACATCAGCAAGGGCAGCCATGGGGCCATATGTTTCAGGCCTGCCGCCGCACTAGCAGAGCAGTAGATGGTAGCGAAAACGCTGGGTTTGGGGGCCTGCACGGAGGGCCCTGACTTTGACCTCAGGCAAGTTGCTTCACCTTCCTGAACCTCTGTGTTCTTTTCTCTCTAAGTCAGGGCCATGAGTACCACTGATTTCTCTTTAATGTGCTTGGGGTCATTTACCAAGAGGCTGTACTTAGGGGTAGTGGGCACACGGTTGTCCAGAGGAGGTCAGCGGGCGGCCCTGAGGTCCCACCCACCCCCCTCTGCCCGCAGGCACGGGCCCAGGCCGAGGCCCTGCGCATCAGCGATGTGCATTTCTCTGTCAAGCCAAGCGCCAGCGCCTCCTCGCCCAAGCTGCACTCCAGCGCAGCCGTGCACCGGCTCAAGAAGGACATCCGCCGCTGCCACCGCATGTCCCGCCGCCCCCTGCCCCGCCCAGACCCCCAGGGGGGCAGCCCCGGCCTGCGCCCACCCATCTCGCCCTTCTCGGAGACGGTGCGCATCATCAACCGCAAGGTGAAGCCTCGGGAGCCCAAGCGCAGCCGCATCATCCTGAACCTGAAGGTGATCGACAAGGGCGCGGGAGGAGCGGGCGCTGCGCAGGGGGCCGGGGCGCTGGCCCGCCCCAAAGTGCCCTCGAGGAACCGCGTCATTGGCAAGAGCAAGAAGTTCAGCGAGAGCATCCTGCGCACCCAGATCCGCCACATGAAGTTTGGCACCTTCGCGCTGTACAAGCCCCCGTCCGCCCCTCTGTCTCCCCCGCCTGCCAGCAAGGCCGACGTCACTGCCTCCCCGGGCCCTGGGCTGCTCCTGGCCACCCCCACTGCCCCCTATGACGCCCGCAGCTCCAGCTCCTCTGGCTGCCCCTCACCAATACCACAGTCCTCCTCTGAGCCCGATGACGCGCCCCCCAAGCTGCTCCCCGAGACCACGAGCCCATCTGTCCCCAGCTGGCGTGAGCCCGAGGTGCTCGACCTGTCCATCCCTCCCGAGTCAGCCACCAGCAAGCGTGTGCCCCCTGATGTCACTGCTGCTGCTGGCCAGGCACTTCCCCTGGCCCCCGAGCCCGCCAGTGCCTCCTCTGAGCCTGAGGCTGGGGACTGGCGCCCGGAGATGTCACCCTGCTCCAATGTGGTTGTCACCGATGTCACCAGCAACCTCCTGACCGTCACTATCAAGGAGTTCTGCAACCCTGAGGATTTCGAGAAGGTGGCTGCGGGGGTAGCAGGTGCTGCAGGTGGGGGTAGCAGCGGTGGGGCAAGCAAGTGAGGGGCTCCACTGAGGAGGGGGATTGGGGGGGCCTCCTGCCCAGTGTCGTACTCTTGCTCCCCCCACCCTTGCCCCCAGCCTTCCCCCCGTGCTTTGCTTGTCCCACGGCTCAGTGCTGGCCCAGGGATGGGGCTGGGCAGTTGGAGCTCTGGAAGGCTGGGGGCTGGGGGCAGCACTGGGATGGGTTGGGCCTGGGGCAGGCAGGGCACCAAGAAGTGCTCCCTCTTGTCCCTTGGTACCCTCCCTGCGCACACATGGTGGAGCCCACTGGGTGGTTTTGGGGAAGCCCCAGAACCCAGGGTTCACCTGCCCCTTCCACATCCTACCCGTCTCTCCCCAGCTTGCTTCCTGCTCTCGTGTGCAGCATCTGGTTTCTCGGTGCTAACCCGGCAGCTGCAGGGGTCTTTAAGAGACCCCTACCCAGGATGGGCATGGTCCCTTTCCTTCCCGCAGATGCCTGGGCAGGAGGGGGTGGGGATGGCTCCCTGGCAAAGCCCAAATGGAGGTTGAGGATGAGACCAGACTCAGCCCCTCCCTCCCGGGCAGCGAGGGCCTCAGAGGCTCGGGTCTTCCCTGCTTGCTGTTGGACCCTCAGCCCCACTCCCACCCTGTCACTTTCCTAACCCCCGTCTCAGCAGTGGGAGGACCTGGCAGAGAACTTACCCTGCCACAGCCTCCCAGCGTCTAAAGGCCCCTTCAGCGCTTGACCAAAGGTGCTGTGAGAACCTGCTGTGGAACTCGCGATGTGCGCGTGCGTCCGCCCTGCTTGCGTGTGTGTACGTGGTCCGTGTGCGTCGGGTGCTAGGTCCCAGGCCGTCCAGGCACCCTTTACAGTTCCTCACAACAGGGTCATGGAAAGCCTGGACCTTCCCTTGCCTCAGTGGGCCCGGGGGCCGGGCTGGGGCCTGGGGAGTGAGCTGTGGAAGCCACCAGGCCCCCCCTGCTGGCCCAGGTGTGCTGGGGCACCACACCCCCTGCCCTCCTCCTGGGGTGGTCAGCCCGACCTCAGTCCGGCCTTCACTGCGATGTGGCATGGTGGAGGCTGGGGCAAAGAGGAGACCCCACTCCGAGCTTCCCCTTCCTCCTGGGTGTGCGGGGAGCACTGGGAGGCCTGGACACTGTTCCCAGGGGTCTCCTGACTTTCCCCAGCCCCTCTCTTTTGCTCCTGACCGCTGAGGCTTTCTCACAGCCCAGCCTGCTCAGAGCAGTGGGAGTCTCGGGTGCCGGGGGCAGCTTCTGTTTTCCTCTGCTGCCAGGGAGCCGAGGCATCCATGCCAGTGGCAAAGACCACAGCCTGGCTTTGAGCCGGGCATCGGGAGGGGACACGGGCCAAAGGGGAGAGACCAGACGGGCCTCGCTCTTCAGGACAGAGAGGGTGTTGGTCCCAGGAATGGCACTAGGGCCTCCGCTGGCCAGCCCTGAACCACTGCCCAGGTCTCAGCTGGGCGTGGGTGGCGTGTTCCTGCGCGTGGCTGGAGCTGGCTTCCTGGCATGTGCAGCTGTTGGCACCTGCGCTCAGAAGCGCGAGGGCAGAGGCAGGAGTGCGGCGGGGAGGGAATCCAACCAGAACACGCGCCTTTGGTCCCAAGAATGGGAGGAAACCTTCCTTCGAATCTCCCTGCCGGGGGCCGTCACGTGGCCCCCGCCCTCCCCGCCGGGATGTAGAGCACTCCTGTCCTGGACCCCCCCACCCCCGCCCTTCGTGTTGGCTTCGTGGCCGTCCAAGTGCCAATTGGCTTTTCCCCCAAATAAGGGCTGGTATTTCTCCTCTGTCCTGAGAGGTGATTTCCCCCTACGCCCCTCCCCCAGGTGAGTGACCACCTGGGTGCCAGTTACAGGTGTTTCCAGAGACCATAGAAATGTGTTTTCCTGAGAATCCGTGTCATTCGTGACTTTTTTTGTAAAGAAGTTGTGTTTTCAGAGGTGATTTTATGACAGGAAAGTGAAAGAATTAGTTTTGCAAAAAAACAAAAACAAAAAAAGGAAAAAAAAGAAAAAAGAAGCAGAAAAAATATTGTGGGATTCCGCGGGGAGCGGGGAGGGGGGGAGAAAGATATTTAAAGAAAAATTTAGAAACGCAGTGATTGCACAGGTGAGGTGGCAATGTTAGGAATGGGGCGGACGCCTGGGCCCAGCTGGCGGGTCCCCTGGGGTCACAGGCACCGTGGAGACAGCCCACCCTCCTTCCTGCTGGCCTGGGCCTAGACCGCCACACCCGTCCTCACTCAAAGGGAAGGACGACAGTGGGTCCCGAGGGAGCCAGCCAGAAGCTGCAGGGGCCAGGCACGGGGGTGAGGGAGCCCAGATGGGTGGGGGGTTGCGGCGTCCTGGGTTCCCAGGACTCGGTGCTGGTGATTTTAGCCTGAAGGCTGGTGAGGAGGTAGCTTGGTTTCTTGCCCCTCCGTTGCCAGCTTGTTGGGCCATCCGGTCCCTACCACCACCACCCTGTGGGGGCACCTCTCTTCCCCTCACCCCATAGACCATGGCATCCCTGCGCTTCCCTGGCCTGAAGAGGGTGCAGGCTGCAGGAAGAAAGGAGCTGTGGCTCTGGGAGAATCCCTGGCTGAGACTTTGACCCTGTGCAGCTGTGGGGGAAGGGAGCGCCCCTCCCTTTGCACACCTCAGGTAGGTTGCTGCCCCGAGCTCCAAGCGGGGCAGCCCTGCCCTGCCCCTGCCTCGAGGTGGGTGTCTCCCCTGGGGGGCCTGAGTGGATGGGACCAAGGGCGAGCACAGCCCTCCTTACCTCCCTCCCTGGCGCCCCTGCCCCCCACACACTTGCACCCGTGGCCTCCTGTGGGCCCCTCCTCCAGCCCTTGCTGCTTTCCATTTGCCTAATTACCAAGCAGAAGTTGCAGTCTGGTTTGCTTTATTTTTCTATGTGAGATAACTCCCAAAGCCTGATCTCCCATGTTCAATATTGGGTGGGACATCATTCATCTCCCCTATGTACACCCCCTCCCACCCACATGTCATAGGAAATGGGTGAGGTCTGGTGTCTCTGGTTCGAGATGGAAAGTCGGGACCCATCCCTGTCTCAGTCCCTCTTCTGGTCCTCAGTTTGCCCATCTGTGAAATGGGTGTGTTGGGTGGCAAGGCCTCTTCATAAGTGCTGCTGATGTCCAGGCAGCTGCCAAGTACAGGGTGGGGTGGAAATTGCTGGCACTGGGGCCTCCAGCCACCCACAGCCCCTCTTTATTCTCACCCTGCAGAGGGATCAAGGTCAAAATGAGCCTCATCCTTCCTCTGATCTGGGAAGAGGTGATGATCAAGTCCCCAACCTCAGTGTGAGGCAGGCAGAGTGGGGGATCGCCCCTTTTCAAAGAGGAGGAAACAAGTTCTGAGAGGCACAACTGCTTCACTGGGGGTACGTCCAGGGACGGGGGCCCAGAATGCCTTGGCCTTTTGGGAAAAGCCCTTTAGAGGGTGGGGCCCAAACCCTGGAGCCAGCACAAAACTGGCAGCTGACCTGTGAACCAGGCCAGTGGGCCTGGGCCTGCCCAAGGCTGGAGGGTGGCCTGGAGGAGGGAGCTGGGTTAGCCGGGGGCTTGGCCACCACCAGCCCCTCTGAAGACCCAAGAGGACGCACCCCCTTTTCCCTCACTTTTCTGTTTTGTTTGTTGGGTTTTTGTGTGTGGTTTTGTCGTTGTTGGTTTTGTTTTGTTTTTTTTTTGGTTTTGGTTTTTTTTTTTTTTTTTTTTGCACTTCGCCCACGCTGGACGGTGGAGCCTCACCTGTCAGCTCCACTTCTGGGCTCCCATGCACTTGCCCAAGACAGCCTATTTGGGGCTTGTATGGTTTGAGGAATCAGTTCTTAAAAGAAAAAAGGAAGGTGTTAAAGGGTTTCATTTTTTCCCTGTCTGCCTCTCAGATTCAGAAAAGCCCAGAATTAGGGGCTAGAACTCCAGGAGAGGGGCTCCTCGACCCCTGTGTTGCTGACAGTCACCAAGGTGCAGAAATAGGGAGATGTGTGGGGGCCAAGGACGGCCCCGGGCCCATGGGGTCCCACCACCCCCTGCAAGCTTTGAGGGAGTCACACTCCACTTGCAACGTGAGTGTGTGTCTGCTGTGAGCAGGGTGTGGCCCCGCAAAGGGGGACTGATGGTCTGATGGGAGAAGCTGCTCACAAGGGTAGCAGGAAGAGTTCTGGCCACCCCTGCTGCTGGGCAGAGTGGAGCGGGAGACTTCTTTTTGTTGGTTTTAATTTAAAAACACAAAGGCCTAAAGAAATATGTATCTTATAATTTTTTTAATTTTTGAAAAGTTCATTTAATGAATTGTGCACGAATGAATTCTATATATATAAAATATACGTATATAGCTCTATATTTGGGGAGGGGCACTGTCTCTTTTTTCTCTCTCTCATTTTTAAAATGAAGTGTTGTTGCCTTTGTCTGTGGTTCGACCATCCAGCTCCCAGCTGGCTAAACTTTGCCTCCAGTGGTTAAAGATGGAAAAATAGTGGGGTTGGCAGGAGACTGGAAATGGAGGTGCCACCCCGGCGTGGGGGGCAGGTCCCCCAGTCCACCTGCCCCACCCCCGATGGAGAAGACACGTAATTTGGGGTGCAGGTGTGGGCTCTGCTCTGGGTTCGTGGCTCCTGGGCTGGGGGAGGGTGGGTCTGTGCCGGTTACTCCGTCTTGTACGTTTGTTCTGCTGCTCTTCAATATTGTATCAACGCCAGGAACGGGGAGTGAAAAGCCTCTTTTACTCCCCAAATAAATTGTCACATTCCGAAGCTAGCCCCTGGGGTGGGGTGTGTCTGTCTCATTTCTTCCAGTTGTGACTGGTCTTCCAAAAGCATCAGGTCTGGGGCCCTCCTGCCACAGAGGGGTGGGAAGTGCTGTCCCTCCATGTCCCTCCACCACCAGGGCCAGGCACCCACCTCCCACGCTTCCCCAGCCCACAGCTCCCCTACGAGCTGGGCCAGGGGTGCAGAGCACCTGCTACTTCTGAACCCTTGAGAATAACTGGTGGGCAAGTGTGTGGTGCAAGTGGGAGGGTGGGTCCCGAGATGCAGCGCCTCGCATTTCAATAATGAGCTGCCCCACAGTTCAGAGAACAGTGGTCCTGCACGTTTGTGTTATGGGGGCAGTGATCAGATGAGGTACCGTCTCCCCATGGAGGTGGGCTCCCGTGCCTTCCCCCGGGGCCTGGCGCTCCACCCTCCAGCTCC